GCTCCAGCCGAAGCTAACACTACCTACCAGGCACCAGAGCAGCCTGAAGAGAGGGATTGGTGTTTCCCGATTATCAACTACGTCTTGTATGGTATTCTACCTGAAGATGTCAAAGAACGAGATTTTGTTCGCAGACGCGCTCCGAGATTTTACTATGACGCGACCACAAAGGCGCTTTATCGTAGGTCATATGATGGTATATTGCTTCGATGCCTCTTGACGACGGAAGCACGTGAATCCCTAAAGGAAGCCCATGGTGGTACCTATGGAGCCCACCAGCCTGGGCCCAAGCTCTGCGATCGCTTGCGGAGGATGGGCTACTATTGGCCTAGGATGATCAGCGATGTCGTCGCTTACGCCAAGTGTTGCCATGCGTGCCAAATCCATGCTAATTACCTCCATCAACCGCCAGAAGATCTACATCTGATGGCGACCTCGTAGCCGTTTGAGACATGGGGGATGGACGTCGTCGGACCGCTTCATCGACAAGAGGTCATCGCTTCATCCTCGTGATATCCGACTACTTCTCCAAGTGGGCGAAACCGAGCCCTTGAAAGAAGTCAAAGCGAGCGATGTGATCAAGTTCATTCAACACCGCATCATTTATCGATATGGCATCCCGAGGTGCATCATTCATGACAACGGGTCGCAATTCGTCGGTCATGCATTCACCCGATTCTGTGACAAGTTCCGGATACAGAACTTGGCATCTATGGCTTATAATCCTTCAACAAATGGATTAGCCGAAGCCTTCAACAAGACAATCATCAAAATCTTGACCAAGCTAACCGCCAATAGCAAGCGTGATTGGGACGAGAAGCTCAATGAAAGTTTGTGGGCATACCGAACTACAGTCCGAACCCCCACTGGCGCCATGCCATTCTCGCTAGTTTATGGTTGCGAAGCCATGCTATCTCTTGAAATCTAGATTCTATCCCTACGCGCTGCACTTGCGATGAGGATGACGACTAAGTAAAGCCATCAACGACGTCTCGCAGAGCTTGAGGCGCTAGATGAAAAGCGGCTTGACGCTCAACAACACATTGAGTTCTATCAAGCTCAAATCTCTAAGGCTTTCGACAAAAAGGTCAAGCATCGGTCTTTCAAGGAAGGAGAGCTGGTCCTCACTGTCCGACGGCCCATGATACTCAACTCCAAAAGGAAAGGCAAATTCGAATCCAAGTGGGAAGGACCTTTTGTGATAGAAACGGTCTACTCGAATGGAGCCTATCGCCTCGTCAAACCAAATGGTGATAAAATCATGATGCCTATCAATGGCAAATACCTGAAGAAGTACTACCCTTAGTCTTCTCACAAATTTGCATCACCTCCCGCTTGAGGCTAAACTGCTGCCCCATACTCTGACAAGTATATGAGTATAAACTGCTTCTCCTACACTCCCACTGTCACGTTAACATTACACCTCTGACAAACCAACTTACCAATCCTTTTCAATAGGATGGTAGGTCCTCATAGTCACCCCGACTGTGATATTACTATCACGTTAACATTACACCTCTGACAAACCAACTTACCAATCCTCTTCAATAGGATGGTAGGTCCTCATAGTCGCCCCGATCGCGATATTACTGTCATGATAACATTTTATATCTGACAAAATCCCACACCACTCCTCTCCAATAGGATGGTAGGCTCACGAAACTATTTGGTTAATGATTACCTCTGATAGTGGACACCGTCATTCCCGAAAATAGCATCGTCCGATCAGTCATCACACTCAAACGTCCCTGAACGACCTGATCCTTTCTGGGCGTTCTAATATTCCTAGAACAATCGATGGGTAGTAACCTCACAGTCAACATGGCTACTACATCAATCAATCGTCACACCCTATGTCACTGAACGGTCGAGTAATGGTAGGTCCTCATAATCGCCCCGGCCGTGATATTACTGTCATATTAACATTACATCCCTGACAAAATCCCTCACCACTCCTCTCCAATAGGATGGTGGGTTCACGAAACTATCTGGTTAATGATCACCTCCGATAGTGGACACTGTCGTTCCCGCAAATGGCGTAGTCCGATCAGTCGTCATACCCAAACGTCCCTGAACGACCTGATCCTTTCCGAGCGTTCTAATATTCCTGGAACAATTGATGGGTAGTAACCTAACAGTAAACATGGCTACTACATCAATCAATCGTCATACCCTATGTCACTGAACGATCGATTACCTTCACACCGTCATTCCCGCCGATGACGTTGTGCATTGATAGTGGCATACTATGCGATGTGCCACTATCCCGAGTTCGTCTTTGCCCCAAGAGAGGACAAAGTCTACACGTGTGGCCAACCCGTGTGTGTAGCCAGTTGTCGTTGTTGACTCAAACAACAGCTAAATCTGTGCCTCCCTGGCATGAGGGACTTCATCTCGATCCCTCATTAGAGATAAGTCTACTTATAACACACGTAGCTAGGTGGTCTATTCCCGTAAGAAAGACAAAGTCTACGTATTCAACATCGTAGCACTAAGGGAGTTAACTCTCTTAGCACAACGTTACATGCAGAACGGATTTATACAATCTGCATGCTAGCCCGATTCAAACGGTAACCGGTAAAGACAAATCAAATTCGTTGATAGCTGAGGGTTTGTTAAAAATCCTAGAAGATGATCAGCGGAGGGTCGAAGAATGGAATACAAGCGTGACGGCACATACTTTAATTGATCTTAAGAAAATATATTTAAACAAAGTTATGACAATGCATTCAAGCAAAGTCATGACGACGCAGAAAGTCAACAAGCACTCTTGAGATCAATCCAGTTCATCGAAGTCTAACAAAAGCGTGATTTCATAGAGGAGATTCTGATACAGTACAAATAAAGCTAAAGAGGATACAATCAGATCAAGTCTAAAAGAAACGCTGCAGCCACGACTCTGCATCCCGGATCGCACTCTGATGGTCCCTCTCTATAGCAGCAAGAGTCTGTCGATGGACCACGTCATCAGTGATCAAGGAGGCGCTGTGGAGCTTGGACCTTACCGCTTCCAAAGCTTGACGCTTCTCTTTAAAGTCGGTCACCATCAATCGACGTTCACTTTCGATCTTCTCTAACTTTTTCAGCCTCTACTCACGGGCCTCCTTCTGAGCAGCAACGTGAGCCTGTAGTTGAGCTATGGTCTACTCCACTGTCAATATGGAATGGGCTGCCTCCTCCAAGAAAGCACTGGCTTTCCGGTGCTCGTCGTCTGCCAGCGCGACCCCCGTCGCAATCCGCTCTACCTCTCCTAATAGCCTGGCCTCCTTAGCGGTAGTCTCCATTAAAAATTGCTCCCGCTCCTTCAAAATAGTTTGGACATGTTCTGAGACTTGGGCAACCGGGTCTTGAGAACGAAGGGTAAGCAGCCTATCGACATTCATCCCCGTCGCCTCCATGTGCTTCTCAAGCAAAGAGGTCGTGTCAGTGCTAGCCAACAGTTGCAAGTTGTCCAGGTACATTTGTAGCACCGGTCTGAATTTGTTAAAGGGACAACCTTCTTCCAACACCATCTGAACATTGTCGTGAAGGGCGATGTGGAAATCTCGGGTTACCCGCTCCACAATCCTTCTGTTAAGGCGCGCCGAGGCCGACATAGGCACATCCCCCTCAGATCAAATCGCCATCAAGATGAAAGGGCTTGTTGTACCCCCTCCATCCATGGTAGGCCTCTCGCACAGAGCGGGAGACCCCACCTCCGAGAGCTGCGTCATTCCGCCAGTCACTTGGGCAAACGAATCCCCTGAAGAAAGCGGCGCCTCTCTGACGAATATCTCCGTCGGAGTCAGGGCCCTTGCCTCTTGGCCTTGCACCTTTTCATGAACCAACGACTTCTCTTCATGGCAAGCCCTCTTGACTGACCTTTCGATGGGAGAGCCGACATCCACCTCACGCCTACGCATCGACGGGGTTAAGGGAGAAAGAGCAGAAGTCGACATATGTATATGCTTGGCAGAGCCACCCTCAACCCGTTCCGAGCACCCCCCGACTTGGGTCAATGCCTCCGTCGCCACCTGATCTTTGTCGATTTCCGCTTGGTTGAGGTCATAGCGAGCTAAAAAATCTAACGGCGGAGCAACATCCAAGTCCGCGTAAAGCATAGTTTCCCAATCCTCCTCGGCAGGAGTCGGGCCGGATCCTTTAACCTGTTCATGCCCTCCTTGCCATGATGACCGAGGAGCTATGCTCGA